GGNTNGNGGNNGGGGGGGGGGGATCGGTAGGATGGACGAGTCGTCAGCGGGCCATGCCCGGTCGTGGGGTCGCGCGGGTGGCTCTGTGTCTGAGACGGGCGCGCAGGACCGTCACTCACCATGCTCCGAATCCAATCATCCTCTGCTGCCGCGTCAGATCGATGCCGAGCTTCTTGGAAAAGGCGTCGTTCTCGCCGGTCAGCTCGCCGCCCAGGTTCTTGACCTGGTTGGTGTCCATATTGATCCAGCGCGAGGCGCCAGTGCCCGCGAAGGCACCGCCGCCGCCGCCGCTGCCACCGCCAGGGAGCCAGGATGACATGGTCTCGGAGCGGTTGGAACGGTAGGTAGGGAACGGTTATGAGCCTCGAGAGCCAGGTGGAGCTCAAGTCAACTTCGAGATCCGGGAGTAGGCAGAGAGGTCCGGGCGCCCAGAAAGGTCGTGAGAGTTCGTCAAGGGGCGGCGAGTCGGATGCCTCGTTCGTGAAGGGGTGAGAAACTTCGGCGGCTGTGGTGATGGTGTTGGTGGTCGCGATGATCAGGGCAAGCGCGAGAGCGAGAGGCGAGAGACGTAGGGATGCAGACAGCGGGCCGAGCTGCATCGCTTCGAAAAAGTCGAAAGGGGGGCCCGGGCGGTGCTGGCTGGCAGCGGTGGGCGCTTCCCTCGGCACGCACGCCGGCCAAGCAGAAGCAAGGCAGCTGAAGCGCGCTTCGCGGGCGGGCCACCCGCCAGGCCGGGTCAGGCTGGCGTGTTAACTAGGCTAGGGTCCGGGTCCGGGTGCCCTTTCGCAGGCGGCTCTGCTTCTTGGCGCAGCCCCACTGCGCGGACCTCGATACGCTGCCACCTATTGGTCGCGTCAGGCATCATCGGCGAACAGAGAGGAGGTGCTGATCCCCGAGAGACGGGATCCATTCACATCTTTCCGTCGTGACCTCGTCTTTCTAGGCTTCTACAGGCAACGGCGCAGCTTCACTGCCCGATGGCACCCTTCCTTCTGAGCTCCTCGACCGCCTTCCTGCTGAGCCCGAGCTCCTGCTCGAGCACCTCGTCGGTGTGCTGGCCCAGCACGGGCGGGGGGCGGGTGACCTTCATCTTGCCCTTGCCGTACGTCACGGCGGGCGAGAGGATCTTGATGCTGCCGGCCCTCGGATGCTCGACCGTCGTCACGACCTTGCGCGCCTTGGCCTGCGGATGCTCGTCAAACGTGCCACGGATGTTGCGGATCGGCGCGGCGGGGATGCGACCCCTGATCTCGTCGATCCAGTGCTGGATCGGCTGCGTCGAGAAGAGCTGGTCCAGCAGCGGGATCAGCGTGCCCCGGTTGGCCACTCGCGCTTGGTTGGTCGCATACAGCGGCGACTCGGCCAGGTCCGGCCGGCCCAGCACGCCGCACAGGAGCTTGAACTGGCCATCGTTGCCAGCACCCACCATGATGCGTCCATCGGCGGCGCTGAAGCTGTTTTAGTGGCAAGGGAGTCGGGAGGCGGCGGTCCGCGGCGGCAACACGTGTCAGAAGGAAGAGGCGTGCGTCGCCGAGCCAACTCTCTCGTGAACGTGCATCGACTCACGTCTGGTAGGGCGCGATGCTCGGGTGAGCATCTCCGTGCCGCGAGGCCTCCTGTCCGGCGATGAGGTAGTTGCTCGCGATGTTGGCGAGCGAAGCAATCTGCGACTCGAACAGTGTCGCGTCGATGTGGACGCCCTGGCCCGTCTGGGCTCGGCCGATAATGGCGGCCATGATGGCGCCGTGGACGTAGAGGCCCGTCGTGAGGTCGGTCAGCGCGACACCCACCTTGACGGGCGGACGATCGGGCTCGCCGGTGATGTGCATCAGACCCGCATCGGCGGCGACAATGACGTCGTAGCCGGCGTTGGCAGAGTAGGGCCCCGTCTGGCCGTAGCCGGTCAGCGATGCATAGATGATGTCGGGCTTGACCCGCTTGAAGTCGTCGTACCCGAGGCCCATGGACGCCAGCTTTCCCGGGAGGTAGTTTTCCACGACGACGTCGGCCTTTTTGGCGAGGTCGTAGAGGATCTGCTTGCCCTCCTTGGACTTGAGGTCGACGGTGATGCTGCGCTTGGAGCGGTTGACGCTGAGGAAGTAGGCCGACTCGGGAGGCAGGCTGCTCCAGTAGTCTTCCTTGCCCTCGGGTGCCTTGAGCGGCTTATCGGCATCGGGCTCCGCAAAGGGAGGGCCCCAAGACCGCGTGTCGTCGCCGCCCTTTGGATGCTCGACCTTGATGACGTCGGCGCCCAGGTCGGCCAGCAGCATGGTGCAGTAAGGTCCGGCGAGGACTCTGGTGAGGTCGAGGATGCGGATGCCCTTGAGCGGCGGAGGTATCGAGGCTTCCGATGGTGCCGTGGCATCTTCGCCTTGCGCTGTTCCGCTACCGAGCGACTTGGCCGCGCTGGTCGAGGAGAGCAGCCTGACGGCGGCGGAGGGAATCGGCCGTGGAGGTTGAGAGGCGCAGCGATGTGCCAAGGTCGACATCGCCTTTGTCGAGACCCGCCGCACTGGGCCGCTCCGAGCCTGGGCCAATGGAATGGCCCATCGACTGGCGAGGCTGCGTAGGGCCGACATTTGCGTCGGCAGATCAAGGTGCGAGGCGTGCGGAGATGTCGGTGCTGACGCCGTCACTGGGCGAGGCTCCCGAAGGGTTCCCGAAGATTGCTTCCGGAGGAAAGCGAGCGGTGACGGCCGACGAGATCGTCTGAGGTGACGGCGGAGATACCAGGAGGGGACGCTGATGGAGGGAGGGGCGCGGTGCAGACGAAAGGGGATGTCGGGGCGATGAAAGGAGCGAAGGGCTCGGGTGAGGCCAGAGAGTGGAAGCAGGTGCTCGCGCGGTGAGAGTCGGAAGAGTTGGAGGCGGTCCAAGCGGATCGGCAACTCAACAGCCCGAGGTCGGCTGGCTCAAGGGCGCGGAAAAGTGCGGGGAAGGCCACAAGCAGGCCCGGGCAGGCCAGCCAGGCAGGCATGGCATGGCGTGGCGTGGCATGGCATGGCATGGCAGACGAAGTGGCCTGCCGCCTCTTCTCGGTCCAAGGCGGCCTTAGTTCGCGCCCGCCGGCTGGCCGCCTTGGACACCTCCACTCCGCTTCTTGCTTCACATGGGCGGGCCTGCTGCTGTTGGCTTGCTGGTTCCTCCTTCCTACCTGCCTACCTACCTCTACCCACCCCGAGTACAAAAGGCGCCCTCCCCCTGCTAGACTCTACCTCTCGAACGGCCACCGATCCCCGCCATCGAGCACTGCTATACATAGCTGCAGACCCCGACCAACCTTCATTGCATCCCCACCGGGCGCCAAAAGGAACCATGGTACCGCGCATCACCACGCCTCTGACCAGGCTGCTGCCGTCAACGACGACCCCAGTCGTGCTGGGCGCCATGGCTAACGCATCCGGCGGCGATCTGGCCGGCGCTGTCTCGCGAGCGGGCGGCTTCGGCTTCATCGGCGCGGGCTACTACTCCCCAGAGACGCTGCGGGACGAGGTTGACAAGGCCTACCGGCAGATTGGCGTCGTCAACCGCGAGTCGCTGGCCCAGAAGCGCGAGCGAGCCAACCTTGGCATCGGCATCCTCACTTGGAGGCTCACCGAGCTCGACCAGGGAAGCAAACCGCCGCTCGAAGGACAGGATCCGATGCCGTCGGCATCGTCGTCAAAGGCGATGGCGCTCGTCGACGAAATGCTGCGGGCGCGTCCAAAGGCCGTCTGGCTCAGCTTTGGAGACGAGCAGGAACTCGTTGGATGGACCCGCCGCATCCGCCGGCGGGACCGCGAACTCAACCCGGACCTCGACGTCAAAGGCGACCAGAGCCTGCTCCTCTTTGTCATGGTAGGAAGGGAGGCCGAGCTCGCCTGTGCCGTCGAAGGCTGCGGCGCAGACGTCCTCATTGCACAGGGTAAGCGTCCGCCACATCGGTTCGGACCCCCGTCGATCTCCGTACTCCCGCTGACGATTCGCGCGACGACGGTCTGATTGCAGGCAACGAGGCGGGCGGCCATGGTCACTCCGAGTCGCCGCCCCTAAGCGCCATCATTGCCGCGGTGCAGGAGAAGCTACCGTCGCTCAAGCCGACCAATGCTGCCGGCACGATGCCGCCGCTGCTGGGGGCGGGAGGCCTGTCTGGCGGGCGCTCGCTCGCATCGTTGCTGGCGCAGGGCTGTGCCGGCGGCGTCTACGGCACGCGCTTCCTGCTCACGCCCGAGGCCCAGTACTCGGACCTGCAAAAGGAGCTGCTGGCGAGGTCCAAGAGCGACGACACCAAGCGGACGCGCGCGTTTGACGACGCCCGGGGCACGCTCGGCTGGCCCGCGGGCGTCGATGGCCGCGGCATCAACAACCTCACCGTGGCCGACTACGAAAAGGACATGGAGATGGAGAAGGAGCAGAGCGACAGGGCAAAGGAGGGCGTGGCGAGGAGGATGGAGCGCTACAAGCAGGCGGCGAGCGAGGCCGACGTCGAGAGGCTCGTCATCTGGTCGGGCACGGGTGTCGGAGGCATGGACAGGATCATGCCGGCCGCCGAAGTCGTCGACGAAATCACCCGAGACGCGGTCGAGGCGATCCAGCAGGCGCACAGCTACGTCGTGGCCTAGGTTCGTCAGCAAGCAGTCTATCCTTTGCTTAGGCAGAGTGTCCATAGAGAGCGCTATTTCGCCACGGCTTGCTCTGTTTCCCCTTCCCTCAATCGACCGGCCGCGACTGCTGGTCCGACTGCTGCCCGCCCGACGCGGTTGGAGGTGCTACGTCGCCCGAAGACGCTGCTGCTGACGGTTGCTGGTGGTCTGGAGCGCCGTGCTGCTCTTCTGCGGCCTTGTTCTTTTCGATGTTGGCCGCATTCTGGGCGTATTTGCTGCGGCGCGTCAGCAGGCAAGGGGGTCGAAGTGATCCGCCGTTTTCGGTGCTGTCAGCCTCGACGTGTGACGCTGGTCCGGCTCGACGAGCCGCCCTGCGCCACTCACCCTTTGAGGAACTGCGTCTCTCGGTTGACGGCATCGAGGTTGACGGTGCCGTCGGGGTTCTTGAGGATGCGGGGCATGGCGTGCGTTTGTCGGGCGTGGCGACGGCGGAGGTGGTTGTGGTGGTGGTGTTGGTGCCGATCAACGATGTGGGACGAGGCGGCCGCTCTTCCTCCGGGTCATCCCCGCGAGCGTGGCTTGCTCGAGATGGACGGCCGTGCGTCCACCGAGAGGCCGAGGATGGGGGAGAGGAGGCGGCGCTGCATCTGCATGCGCATGTGTGGAGGTGATTTGGGACGAGGCGCTCGCCTGACGGTCAGGCGGGGTGACGCAAGCAAGCCACCGAAAGCCAGGCGAGCCAGCAGAGCGGCCACAAGACCGGCGTTGCGGATGGACGCTCTCCGAACCAACCGAAAAAGGGGGGGGTTGGGGCCACGCCCGTCCGTCGAGGCGGGCGAGTCGAGGCGAAAGGCGGTGCCCAAAGCGGCGGGCGCTGCTTGCCGATGCCTCACTCGCTCGCTCGCTCGCCCCGAGCAGCCAGCCCGCCTGGGGCACCAGCGCGGCCTGCCCTTCTGCCTGCCTGCTTGTCTTTGCCTCATCTGACAGCCCCTCGCTGCGATCGCCTAGCAGCTTGGCCTGGCAGCTGGCCAGCCTGGACCCCTTTCTACCCCGCCCAGCCTCGCCCCCTTATCAGCCCGCCAGCTTGCCCGGGCTTGGCCTTGCCATCCGACCATCATCCTTCCCCCCAACCGACGACGACGACGCTCTTAGCTGAATCGCCGTCTCCGTACCTCTGACATCCCTTTCGGCACTTTCTGCCTCTACCTTCACCAGGCACCCAACGACGACGGTGCCGCACGCCACCTGGCCCGCTTTCTACCCATTTTCTTCGCCACCCGACCGACGTACGGCAACGATGAGGTCCTCGTGGCTCTCGACCGCCTCGGCCGTCTTTGTCTGCGCCGCGGCCGTGGCCAACAGCTACACGCTGCCGCCCAAGGCCGAGGAGCTCCGTTTCGACCAGGCCGGTAACCTCGTCTGGCAGGAGGACGCCGTCGCCGACAGCGTCCCCTCGCTCGGCCGCCCCGACTTCTCCGCCCTCGATGTGGTCGACAAGCACGCCTCGTCGGCCGCCTCCAAGGCCAAGCAGTCGGTCGAGGCTATGATCTCCGACGCCATGCGCGACGTCGAGAGCGCCGTCTCCTGGGCTGAGCACGAGATCGACTCGATCGAGCATGCCATCGACAACGTCATCCACGGCGCCGAGGAGCAGGCCGAGTCCTGGCTCCGCACCGGCAGGGTCATGGTCGAGGGCCTCGAGTACGAGCGCCTCGTCCACCCGCACTTCCCCGAGTACGCGCTGCGCCTCAGCACCACGGGAAAGCCCTTCTGCGACCAGGACGTCGTCCAGCACAGCGGCTACCTCGACATCTCGGGCTCCAAGCACCTCTGGTTCATCTTCTTCGAGAGCCGCAGCAAGCCCAAGGAGGACCCCGTCGTGCTCTGGCTCAACGGTGGCCCCGGATGCTCGTCGTCGACCGGCCTGCTGTTTGAGCTGGGTCCCTGCCGCGTGGCCAACGAGGGCAAGAACACCGAGCACAACCCGCACTCGTGGAACAACCACGCCAACCTCCTCTTCCTCGACCAGCCCGTCGACGTCGGCTACAGCTACTCGGACGACGACAGCGTCAACAACTCGCCCGCCGCCGCCGAGGACGTCTACGCCTTCCTCCAGCTCTTCTTCAAGAAGTTCCCCGAGTACGCCAACCTGCCCTTCACCGCCTCGGGCGAGTCGTACGCCGGCACCTACCTGCCCAACATCGCCTCGACCATCCACAAGAAGAACAAGCAGCTCTCGCTCGCCCGCTACCGCGATGCCGACGCGGCGCCCATGCACATCAACCTCGAGAGCGTCGCCATCGGCAACGGCCTCAGCGCGCCCCAGATCCAGGTGAGTGGCTGGTGTCGGACCATTCCCAGCTTGCCACGCCCATCCACGCGTCTCACGCTGACCGGCCGCCATCCTTTTTCCTGTTGCCCTGCAGTTCCCCACCTGGCCCGACTTTGTCTGCGGCGAGGACAACGAGTTCCGCCTGTTTGAGCCCGAGAGCTCCACCTGCACCTCGATCAGGCAGAAGGCGGCCACGTGCAAGAGCCTCGTCGAGAGCTGCCAGAAGTACAACAGCCGGCTCACGTGCACGCCGGCCGCGCTGTATTGCTGGTCGATGTACTCGCCCGCCCAGTCGACGGGCCGCAACCTGTACGACACGCGCCGCAAGTGCGACCGCGCCGAGGACAAGGACGGCCCGCTCTGCTACCGCGAGATGAGCTGGATCGAGACGCTGATGAACCGCGACGACGTCAAGGCTAACCTCGGCATCGCCAAGAAGCACACCTTCACCAGCTGCAACATGGACATCAACAAGAACTTCCTGCTGCAGGGCGACAGCATGCACGACTCGTCGGCGCTCCTCCCGGAGCTCATCGAGGACGGCATCCGCCTGCTCATCTACGCCGGCGAGACCGACAGCATGTGAGTACGCGGCTCCGGCTCTGCTGATCCAAAGTGGAGGACCTGCCTCGGACTCGCTACGATCGAACGCGGCTCGCTGACCTTCTCACACCGCCGTGCGTCCCTGTGCCTCTCGCGCCCCGCAGGTGCCCGTGGAACGGCAACTTCCTCTGGGTCAAGGCGCTCGAGACGAGCTTCAAGGCCGAGTTCAACAACGCCACGTCGACCGAATGGAAGGTGGGCGGCAAGCGCGCCGGCCTCGTGACCAAGGCCGGCAAGGGCGCCGGCTCAGTCGCCTTCCTCAAGGCCTACAACGCCGGCCACATGTTCCCCGCCGACGCCCCCGAGGCTGCCGCCGAGATGATTGAGAAGTGGATCCGCAACGAGGCGTTCGTCTAAGCGCTCGACGGCCGCCCCGCTGGCCCCGCCTTTTTTCTCGATTCGCTCTAGACGGTCGCTCTCGGCCAGCTTCGGGCCCTCGTGTCGAGTGCCCTCATCCTTCTCCTCTCGTCCCGTCTCCTATGCCGTTCGTATGCTCGAGATAGGCCCTCCATGCTCTCCTTCATCGTCTCGTATGCCCGTCTGTCTGGCTCACGTCCAGCTAGCTACACCCTCATTGTCTCCCGAGAATCTTAAAGCGTTTAAAAGTCCCTGCGGCTTGACAAAGGGACGGCACAACCACTCAAGCGCTGGGGCGAACACCATCATGCTGCGGATGCGCAGGCGAGACTCGCCAAGACCAGGCTCGTTTAAAGATGAATGCCTTGAGGGAATGGGCAAATCCGGACAACTGTCACGTCGGCAACAGCGGGTTGCCACGGTGTACGGGCGATGGAGAGCAAGGATGCGAAAAGAGGACGGGAGGGGGGGCCAGGGAGGAGGTGCGGTGATGGCGAGCTTTGGTGGTGGTGTGACCCCGCCCTTTGTTGCGGGACCCCACAGAAGATTCGCTCGATGGTCGACGGTCGACGGCCGACGGCCAATGGGCTGAGCCTAGGAGGACCTCGAGCAGGCTGGCCGCGGGGGGGCCCGGCTGTCTCTGCTCCGCACCGCCGCTTCGACGCAGAGAAGCGGCTCAGCTCCGAACCCGCCAAAACAGACCCTCCGCGGCGATCCTCCTCTGGCTGTCAAATACCACACAGGCCCGCGCAGAACAGCAGAAGTCGGAGGCTGTACGTAACGGTGTGCACAGAGTAGTACACGGTGCACCGACCGTCGGCAGGTGCAAAGCCTCCGCCGGGCGTGCCAACCGCCTCTCTCTGCATGCACCGCAGTCGGAGGGAGCGACAACTGCCGAACAGCGCGGGCACGCGGCTCCCCCGCCTTCCCAAGCTTAGCTTCCCTTGCTTCACCGTGCCACAACAGCGTTCCGTACGTTGGCGCCTCGACATGGGCAAGCGAGCGCAACATGAGACTGGTCGATCAGCAGAAGAGCACCAGGATACCGTACGTCTGCATTTCCGGCCAGCGTCCCCCGTCTGCCTGTGACAGCTTCGCGCGCCTCTGCCCTTCCTGCCCTTTCACAGCCCCCCACCGCCATCATCACCATGCTCGTCGCTTCCGTGCGCTACCATCCGGCATTCTTGCTCCAGATCAAGAGATCTCCACTCGGCTATCGCCTGTCGACTAGGAAATCGCCCGACCCGGAGACGCGCAGTCGCAGGCCCTCCCTTGTTGATCTGAGCTGCACGCCTCCTGCGCCGCACCAGGCCCTACCGGCTCGGTACTTACAGGCGTAGCTGGGTCAGCGGCGATGCGGATCCTCACCGACTTCGTCTCGCCTGGCGCTACAGATGGCATCTGACCAGAAAAGGCGATGTAGGTACTGGGGCGAGGCGGCGGATGGCAAGCAAGCCCTCCACACAAGGCCCGCGGGGATGGCAGCCACCGCGATGAGACAATAGTTAGCAGCAGAAGGGACGGGGCCCGTTCAGCACCTCGACGGGCGGTCTGGAGCGGTGAGTACCCAGCCTGGCGCGTATATAGCAAGCATCAGGTGGCCCTGCCTCTGCCGTCCCCATCACGGGTCCTTCAGCGACGATCTGCCACTCCATCTGCTCTCGACCTCGACCATGCTGACCCGTGGCTTCCTTCCCTTGCTCGGCCTCGCGCTGCAGCTCTTCAGCCATGCCGCCGCGGTCCCCACGACCACCAACAGCCTCTACGGCGGCCTCGAGTCCCGCCAGTTCACCTTCGACGAGCGTGCAGCCGTGGGACCGCTCTCGTGGGACGGCACCACGCTCAAGATCGCCGGCCAGCCCTTCTTCCTGCAGAGTTTTGAGCTCCACCCCTTCCGGCTTCCCGTCCGCGACCTGTGGCGCGACCCGCTGCAGAAGCTCAAGGCGGCCGGCTTCAACACCGTCTCGATCTACACCCAGTGAGTCCTTGCGTCACCGAACCTCTCGGTGGCAGGCGCGTTTGCCTTTCGCAGTCGAGGGCTCGGACTGATGCAGCCATTCCGCCTGATCGTTGCGATGCCCGTTCGCAGCTGGGGATCCGTCATGTCGCGGCCCGAGGCTTCTTCGGTCACCTTCAAATCGCCCGGCAACGACCTCGCCCGCTTCCTCGAGATCTGCAAAGACGTGGGCATCTTTGTCATCCTCCGCCCGGGCCCATACATCAACGCCGAGAGCAACGGCGGCGGCTTCCCTGGCTGGGTCTCGAACCTCAATACCCAGACCCGCATCAGCACGCCAGAGTTCCGCGCGGCGTGGGAGCCCTACATGAAGGCCATCTCGCAGACCGCCGCTCCCTTCCAGGCCAAGCTCGGCGGCGACGGCAAGCTCGACACGAGCGGCGGCACCCTCATCGCCGTCCAGGTCGAGAACGAGTTCACGCAGAACGCCCCCATGGAGGCCTACTTCAACGAGGTCATCGACGTCTACCGCCAAAACGGCATCACGGTCCCCACCACCTTCAACGCTCTTGGCGGCCGCAAAGACTACTCGAACAACAACAAGCTCGACCTCTGGGGCGCCGACAGCTACCCGCAGGGCTTCGACTGCAGCAACCCGGACAAGTGGAACGGCCTGGGCCGCAACTACACCTACCTCTCCGACAACCGTCCGTCCAACCCGCGCTTCGTGCCCGAGTTCCAGGCGGGCTCGTTTGACCCGTGGGGCGGTCCTGGATACGAGCAGTGCTCCAAGCTCATCAGCCCGCAATTCGTGCGCGTCTTTGACAAGAACCTCTTCTCCCAGGGCGTCAAGCTGCTCAGCCACTACATGGGCTTCGGCGGCACCAGCTGGGGCAACTTTGCGTTCGGCGGCACCGTCTACACCAGCTACGACTACGCCGCGCCCATCGACGAGAAGCGCATCAAGCGCGAAAAGGTCGGCGAGTACAACGTGCTGGGCCAGTTCCTCCAGTCGTTCCCCGAGTTTGCCTCGTCCTCGGCCGTCGCCAACGCCACCAACCTCGGCGCCGTCGATCAGTCGGCAGCGATCCAGGTGACCCGCATGACGTCGGCCCAGCAGGGCTCGGGAAGCTGGTACATTGTCCGCAACGACAACGTCAAGTCGACGGCTACGGTGACGTACAAGCTCTCGGTCCAGGTCGCAGGCAAGCCGCTCGTCATCCCGCGCACGGGTACGATGACGCTCAACGGTCGCGACTCGACCATCATCTCGATCGACAAGCCCCTCGACACCCTCCGGGCCAAGATCTCGTACAGCACCGCCGACATCAGCTTCGTCGGCAAGATTGGCAACCGGGACGTCGTGGTCGCCCACGCCGACGTTGGCAAGAACCTCGAGCTCCAGCTGGCGCCTGTCCAGGGACAGAAGCTCGCGGTCAACTCGGGCGCCGACCAGGTCAAGTCGCAGACGCTGCCGACCGGCGAGCTGGTCATCAACTGGACCGCTGCCGAGGCTCCCCGCTACGTCTCGGTTGGTGGCGACGGACAGGGGCCCTCGGTGCTGCTCGTCCTCGCGCCGAGCTCGTACGCGCAGCGCTCCCGCTCCATCGCTACGGCTAGTGCCGGCTCGCTCGACGAGATCCTCGGCACGGGTGACAGGATCTTGGTCGGTGGCAACGCCTACCACATCGCCAACGGCACCGTCAGGGGCGACACGCTCCAGCTCTACGGCCAGCTCAGCGACGCCTCGACCATCGAGGTCTTTGCCCCGCCAGCCGTCAAGCAGGTCTCGTTCAACGGCGAAAAGCTCGGCGGTCTGCAGACGACCGACCTGGGCGTGCTCCGCGGATCCATCGGAGGCCCCAGCACCGAGGCCAAGTCGTGGCAGCCGCCGGCGCTGACGGGTTGGAAGGCCCAGGACTCCCTGCCCGAGATTAAGCCCGACTACGTGCCGAACGCGGCCGAGTGGATCGACGCCTCCCTCACCTCGACGCCCAACTCGTGGTTCAAGAACGCCACGACCGGCGGCAAAGTGCTCTTTGCGGCGTCGTACGGCTTCTACTCGAGCGGCAACATCCTGTGGCGCGGATCGTTCAACGTGTCACAGAACCAGGTCCCCTCTGCGCTCGAGCTCAACATGATTGGCGGCGATTTCTTCGCCGCCTCGGTGTACCTCAACGGTCGCTACCTCGGTTTCCTCGAGGACTCGGGCAAGGGGACTGGCAGTGCCAACGCATCGCTATCCATCCCCAAGGAAGCGGTCCAGGTGGGCAAGCAGAACGTCGTCACCATCATCCAGGACGACCTCGGACTCGAGGAGAGCGGCTCGACCGTCAGCGTCAAGGGCTCGCTGCCGCGGGAGCAGATCAAGCAGCCTCGCGGTATCCTCGGCTTCCGACTGGTCGGCGGACCGGGCAGCGAGTCGGTGTCGTGGAAGGTGGCGGGCAACCTCGGCGGCGGCTCGTACCCGGACCAGGTCCGAGGCATCCTCAACGAGGGCGGCCTCGCTGCCGAGCGCGGTGGCTGGCATCTTCCCGGCTTCGACTACTCAAAGTGGGCCGCCGCCGACCCGGCCAAGGGCTTCACGGGTCCCGGCGTGCAGTTCTACCGCACCAGCGTCGATCTCAACGTGCCCGCGGGCCACGACCTTCCCCTGAGCTTCGTCTTTGACGGCGAGCAGGCAAAGATGCCCGAGTCCGACTACCGTGCGCTCCTCTTCGTCAATGGCTGGCAGTTTGGCCGCCGCCTCGCCCGCTTTGGTCCGCAGACCCGCTTCCCCGTCCCGCCCGGCATCATCAACCCGCGTGGCAGGAACGAAATCGGCCTCGCCGTCTGGAGCCTCAAGAGCGGCGCCAAGGTCAACCTCAAGCTCGCAGTCGAGGGCAGGTTCAAGGGCGACGTCGACTACCAGACCAACAACCCCACCTACCAGCAGGTCCGAGGAAAGTGAGGGCCATCTTCCCAGCGAGGCGTAGGAGCCCGCACATGACGTATGTAGTTGTCCTGCTTTTATCTCCGTACGCGCTGGAGTCGATAAGGATCGTCGCATCCGTCTGGTTCAGGATCGAATAGTCAAATAATTGAGCCTACTCTTGTTCCATCGTGCAAGGGTATGGTCTATCGACTCTGAAGCGCATCAAACATGTTGCAATGATGGTGATGGTGGTGGTGGATGGCTTGCTTCGCCTGACGCAGCGCAATTTGCGGTCCGGCGCGGTCGGGGCGCTGCGGGATTTCTTTTAGCACAGCCACCATGGCGCCTCGCTCTGCCTTTTCCTTGCTGGCCAGCTGGCGGGCAGGGACTTGGCTTGCTTGCCTCCTGACCCCCACCTCAACGCCCCATGGCAAAGGCGGTCATCAAGCACTCCCTCGGCCCGATGCCCGCCCTTTCGCCTTTGACCACCACAACTGCTCAACCACACAGCTTCCTCTGGCAGCCCGGCTCCTCGCTGAGGCAAGCTACAAGACTCGAGCGCATGCAGCAGAACCGACAGCAACCTCCAACGTTTGGCCACCTGGCGCAGCCGTGACCCACTCCTGCCTCTGCCCTGCACCAGTTTGATCTCGATCCACAGCAGACAGCATGGACAGCTCGCAGAACACCGCAACTGGCGACCTCGGCCGCCACGCCCGCCATCATGACCGCGAAGCGACACTCACCGGGGGCTCAGACTCCGAGGATCCGCTTCTCAACCAACAAAATGTGGCTGCACCTAAGCCAGCCAAGACGCCTGAACCGAAGAGTCCATCGATGCTCGTCAAGGAGCTGCACGAGGACAGCGACTCATCCCCGCTATGCAGCTCTCCTGCTCTGCGAAATGTTCACCCCTCGATGCCGGATGCACACAGCGCCAGAGCGCACGACACCGCTGTCTCCCGCGTCGACGGTCCTTCTTTGCAGCATCGCGTCTACAGGGAAGCCAACGATGAAGATGACAACAGCGACGGCAACGAACTCGGTGCTGGCGTGGGCAGCAGCTTGAACCCTCTCTCGGCGCCTGGACACCACAACGAGCCCCCAACGCCACTGCCATCTGGATTCAAGCTGCCTTCATTTGACGACCTCCTCTTCGATCTCCTCTTTGCCGCTGTCCTCACCGTCTACTCGAGCTCGGTCGAGCTTGGCTCGCCCGGGCAGATCTTTGGCTTCGTCGGCTTCTTTGCGCTGCTGTGGTGGACATGGTGGAGTCAGACGTTGTTCGACGTCCGTTTCCGCGAGGGTCCCACACGCCCGCTGTGGCTTCGATTCCTGCAAGGCGTCGTCCGCCTTTGCCTGCTCGGCGCCTGGCTTGCCTTCGCCACAACTGTCTCTGAGTTCGCCCGGCAGAGCTTCACCAACTTCGCCGCCTGCTACGCCGTCACTCGGGCCTGTCTTGCGCTGGACCACCTCCTCGTGCTCTTCCACGGCGTCCACAAGCATAGCCGCAAGACTTTTGTCGCTGTCAGCGTCCAGGTGGCGGTACTCATCATCTCTGGCCTGCTGTGGGTCCTGAGCCGCTTCTACGACCAGCGTCCTCCGGTCGGCTGGCAGCAACTCGTCATGTGGTTCTCTGGCATCGCCGGCGAAGCCATTGTCCAGATCGCGCTGGAGAAAATCGATATCTTCGCGCCCACTCTGCACGAGACCATTGTGGCGGACCGGCTCGCCACATTTGGTCTCATTGTGCTCGGAGAGGGCTTCAACGGCCTTGGCACCGTCATCAACTCGATCAGCCCGGGCACGCGAGACTGGCAGCGTGGAGGCATCCCCATGGGTGGCTGGGGCGGCCTGACGATCCTGCAAGTGCTGAGCAGCCTGGTGATCGTGGTGATGCAGTTCTACGGTTACTTCCGTGGAGCGGTGCGCGAGATGGAGGCGGGCGCAATGACGGTGCTGGCGTGGGCCTACGCGCACGTCATCCTCCATCTCTCCAGCGCCGTCACGGTAATCGGGCTCAAGAAGGCGGTCCTCTTCTTCAACGCGCTCTCGGCGCTGGGTCGCTACCTCGAGCAGCCGCAGAACTACCTTCCGCCGACGCCGCCCTGGTCTGATGTGACTAGCAGCATGCTCGTGTCCATCTACGACGACAACATCACCGACATGCCGGCGGAGGTCGTTGACACGGTGCGCAGCACGATGGCGCTGATCCAGTCGACGAGCGGTGCCGAGATCCCCTCGGTGGACCAGGTGGTCGCGATGCGCAACGTCACGGCGGCCGTGACCCCGGTGACTTGGGATGCGCCGTTGCGTCTCCAGTTCAGCGACATGTTTGGCGCCACGTCTGCCATCAGCGATGCCAACTCGTACCTCGAGTATGTCGAAGGCGAGCTCTTCCACTTCAAGTATCTCATTGCCGCCTGCGCCATCTTTCTGGCCGGCGACGTGGTGGTCAAGCTGCTGCAGTACAGCTCGAAGGGGGAGTGGCGGAGGTGGTTGCCCTGGTGAGTTGCTGCGTTGGAGCCGCAGCCCGCCGAGACCCTGTGCTGGGCGCGCACATTACTCTGTCGTCGGGGCTGCTGACGGACGAGCGACTCTTTGTGGCTGTTAATGATCCGGCGTGAGCAACGGCAGCCTCGTCTCGCGCTTTGTCTTTTCGCTGGTGCTGGTGGCGCTGCAGCTGGTCTATGTCACGTTCGATGGTGTTCCCAGGTGCGTTGTCGGTCGCGACGAGGCTACGGCCAGCGCTGGCGGGCCTACCCTGGCGCACACACTGACTTTGACCCCAACCCTGCCGACTGTCGGACCGGCAAACCAACAGCTCTGCGGCGTTGACGGGAGCGCTGGCGATAGTGGCGTCGATCCTGGTGGTCGAGTACCTGCTGCGCAGCATCCTGGTGCTGCACCTTCAGAGGCGTCAGCGCCGCGGCACCGGACCCGCTGGCAAGGAAGGGTTCCGGCTGACCCGCTTTGGACCGTAGACGACGAGACCGAGATGCGCTGAATTGACCAGCAGACAAGAGGCTGACATCTGGTCTGCTTCTCTGTGGAACGCAGCAGCGCCTGGCTCCCTTTGCTGTGCCGCCGAGGTGCGCGCCTGGGTGATGGAGGTCGTCCATCGGGAAGGTGTCGGATGTGTCCACATCCCGCCCCGACCGGCTATCTGCCACCCTCGGGCTGGGTCGCAGCGGCTATTTTTGCACAGATTAAAGCTGCTGCTTGCTTTGCTCGTTGGCTTTGCATCCGCGGCGGCTACTTCAGGCTCACCTCGTCCTCCACACGGCGTCGGGCAGGCAGCCTTGGCCCCCCGCCGCCTTCGACGCTCTATGTCCATCTCTTCGCAGCCGCTGACAGCTTGACCGCCCTGACCCTCGTCAGCCCCCTCCTCGCCGCCATCACAGGGCGCTACCACCACCACCACCACCATCAAAGCGCTGAGCCATGCCGTTGCCATCGATGGACGACGCCTCCCCGCTACGACGCACTCGCGGCGCACTCGCCTGCCTTGCCTGCCGCGCTGCAAAGAGCAAGTGCGACGGACAGCAGCCCGACAAGATCCTCGCCGCAGCAGCGGCATCATCATCGTCGTCGTCGTCGTCGTCCTCGCTCCTCACCCAGCTATCGCCCAACCCGTGCTCACGCTGCGCCATGCACAAGCTACCTTGCCGCTGGAAACCGTGTCAGCGCACCGGCAGGCCGCGCAAGCAACCCACGCAGCCTCGCCCCGCAGACTCTTGTCGCCTCCCGGCCTCACCCCTGGCTGCTACCGACATTGCCACAAGTGGCGACTACCGCGACAAGGACGGCGACATCGTCCCCGCCACCTTGCCCCCCCGCGCAAGTGCAACACGCACCGCCGACCCCTCTGCGTGGATCGCAGGACTCGACCTCGACGCGTCGTCCGCTCCCAACCTTGGCGCCCTTTACCAAGCGTCGTCCTCCACCGCATTCGCCACACCATTCTCGTGGGATGCTCTCGACGCCCAGCTATGGCCGCAGCCACTCGAGGCATACCAGGACACCGCCGTCTCTTCCGAGAGTCTCTCGTCCTCCGCCGCCACCACCGACGACAGCGCCCTCTCGCCTTCGGACCAGATGCGAAGGCTGGCTGGACTTGTCAGACCGCACTCGGCCCTGGTGCACAGCAGCAGTGCCAGCGCGTCCCCGCTCGACACCCTGCCTCAGTCGGATGTTGTCTCTTTGGGGTGAGTCGGCCTTTGCCACAGGGCGCGATCGGGGGTGTCCGGGGCCTCTCTTCCACCACGGCCGCTCCAGGCTGCTGAATGAATGCCTCTTTCTTTCCCTGCTGCTTGCTGCTGCTCAGCTTGAGCCGCTTTTTCGACAGTTTCGCGCTCTCTGTGCCGGTTCTCGGTGAGGCCGACGACTTTCTCAACCGCCTCTCACCGCGGCCGTCCAACCCAGCAGCGCTGTCCTGGGACGCTTCGGCTTCCAGCTCATCGGCCCAGGACCGCAGCGAGGACCTCGCCGCCTCTCTTTCTGCTAAAGCAGCCGCTGTCATCGGCCACTCGCTCTACCTCGGCACCTCTTCGGAGCAGGCAACCTCTCTATTGGCGTCGCTCGAAACTTCGATCGAGGCAAGGGGCGATGGCACTTCGACTGAGCAGGATGCCGCGACATGCCTCGACCGCATCGTCTGCCACCTTCTTCTGTCTTACGCCTACTACGGTCGCAACTTCCGCGACAAAGCATCTCACCAGCTCGATTGTGCGCTAGCGGTGGCCCGAAAGGCTTCGCTCGACTCTCTTGACGATGCAGCACCCGGCTTCGGGCCCTTCAGCTCGTCCCCCGGCAAGCTAAAAGAAGCAGGCCGAAGGGCATGGTGGGAGATCTGCATCGCCGACGTCATGATGAGCTCGAGCACCAGCGGAGAGATTCCGAGAAGGCTCAATACGCAGCCAAAAGCTCAGAGGGTTCGGATACCTCAAGACCTCGGCGTGAGTCTGGCAGCAGCTGCAAGTTGAAGCCTTTATCGGCGGGAAGTTCCCGTCTTCCCTTGTCTCCCTCTCCGGAGCTCGCGACACTGACGTTTGCACGCCCCTCCTGATCATTAGTCGACGTCGAGCTCAGTCTACATGCTGCGCATTGAGGCTGTGTATCTGATGGCCGAATGCATCACCGAGCACGCAACGCCTTCCGTGGAGCGCCTCAGCTCGCTGGACGGCATCTTGGCAAATCTCATCGCCCGAGCGCAAACCGCCTGGCTGACGGCCGCGCGCGCGCTGGCAAGCGCCGGCCGGGTGCGAGCGCCCAAGGCCGCGGCCACTCGCGAAGTCTGCCTTTTCGACACGGCTGTTCTGCTCCATGCGTGAGTGTCTTGTTTGTGCGGCGCTGCGGTGGTCTTTGTAGCTCCCGCTTACCTCGCGAGTTCTTGTTCCTTTCCACTGTTCCGCCTCGTCTGTATGCCGGCAGCTGCCGTATCCAGTTGCATCGCAAAGCTTGGTTCGCCGACCTGACCTTGGGTCTCGACTCGTGCAGCTTCAAAACTCAAGTGACGGACAGGCAGGACCCGGACCAGAGGCAGATGCAGGTCAGCGTGGGCAGGATTCTCGAGGTGAGTTGGTGGATCCGTCTTCCGAGCTGCGATGCCCAGGCGGCGACGGAGGCTGAGGCAGGCCTCTTTCCGACCCCGCGGCTTCGACAACAGGCGTCTCGCAACATCTCCAGACTCATTCGATACGACTTGGACTTGACGTTCGAGGAAGCGACGTCCTCACCGCTCTCAAGCCTATCGTCGTCTGTATCGATACACGGGTCGGCGGCAAGCGGTTCGGCACCGCCACACTGGCCCTTTATCGGGTGCTGTCTCATGATTGGCGCCTACGGCGGCTGGGTCTCGATCGCCTCGACGTCGTCGTCGCCGCCAGAAGCGCAGTCGACGCCTTCGACATCGAATCACTCGAGCGACACGAGCGATGCCGCCGACAGGCAGCATTGGCTCCATCGCGAGATTGAGAGCGGCCTCGACCTGGCGTACACTTCGCTCGAGAGGCTCGCAGCCGTCTACCCCATCGCCGACGTGTTCAGAGACGAGGTAATACGGTGCCGAGAAATGATCGGGCTTCCGTAGCGCTCCGTCTTCGAAGTCCTTCATCGCTTGTTGTAATCAGTGGGACGCTATCTGTCGTACGGCGGAGCCTCAACCGATCGCAGCACAGCGCAAAACCGGCTCTCGAGGTCTTGACCCCTGTACCGCTTTCAGCATCGAAGGCACTCCGTGCGAGCCTTGAGGACGCGACGAGCTCGTGAACCTCCATGATCTTGGAACGAGATGTCGGCGAGCCTGGTCCAGCCAGAAGCTTCAACCCTACCTGGAGCGCACTGTCCTCCCTGACGGGTGTCGGAGGTGCTCGACTTGCCGAACCTCGTCCCTCGGAGGCTTTGGTGTTGATGGCCTCCACAGCGACCCGTGTTTGCAGGCCTTTCGTAGCGAGGCCCAAAGCTTCCCGAGGACCGGGATCGGAAACCGAACGACTCGCCCAGCCTGGTGCCCGCGGCCAAGGCTGGGTAGGCAGGCAGCCCGCGGGCACCCGCAGCCAGGCGGCGACTTCCTTTGCCACGTGTTTTTTCGAAAGCGAGCCGACTACTCCGACAAAGTGGCCGCGGTGTCGAACTGCGCGCATGCATGGCCAGGCCAGGCCAAGAGCCTGCCTCGGCAAAGTAGCCTGCGAGGCGAGAAAAGTATCCGGAGGCGTCCCAACCTCAAGACGTCGAATGGACAGGCCAGCGACGGGCGCTTGTCAGCTGACAGAAAGTTCGATCTGGAACCCGGCTTTGATCATGGAGGACTGGTTGATTCTTTGTGTGCGACGTATAGAGAGAAGTGGATCGTCTAGTGGCGACGGTACGGGCGATGGACGGGATGTCGAGTGCGTGCACCACTCCTTCACTTGCGGAGCGTCAGGGCGAGCCAGAAGAGAAGCCGGTAGACGACAATGACGATGACCCTGTTTCCGATGCGACGAGCCAAGTGCAGATGCATGGTCAGCGGGCTGGCGAGCTGAGGCGAAAGCGCACGCAAAAAGATAGATAGAGCGAGCTCACAGGATGAAGGCGTAGAGCGTCGTCGAGATGCCGTCGAAGCCAAGAGAGCGCACGACCTCTTCGCCTCGCAGCGCGCATGCCTGACCGGTCTGTACGAGCGTCGAGGGCTGCGAGCAGAGGCACGTGTTGTCGGCCAGCGAGCCGCTGCACTTGAACACCAAGCCGGTAAAATCGTTCTTGACGAGCAGCTGGAATGCAAACGTCTCGTAATCGATGAAGTGAGCCCAATACTTCCAGAACGAAGGCAGAGTGCGGACGAAGTAGCCTGCAATGGTGTTGACAGGAGGGAGGAGTCAGCACGGACCGGTCTGCGCTGCGGTGTGGTTGTCGAGGGAAGATGCGATCTGGTGCTCACCCTGCACGACCATCCAGAATCCGTTGATGAAGGCGGCGATGGCGAGGGCGGCGACAAAAATCGGGATGATGGCGGCGATGAGCAGTGACTGGCACTCGGCCGCATAGACGCCGAGGAAGACAAAGGCGAGGAAGCGGAAGAAGGGCGTCGCTCCGGGGTGGAGGCCGACCGACCAGTATACGATCACGGCAAAGAAGACGGTGCAGATCGCGAGGAAAGCTGTCCAGCGTCGGAGGGGGCCATTCAGCCGACGTGTCAGCAGATGTGGTGTCAACTCTGGCCTGGTAGCTCGGCGCTGCACTCACGAAGCGATGCGGCAGTGTTGGCGAGGACGTAGGGTGCGGCAGTGTAAAGGTTGTTCCGCTTCTCTCGCATCAGGACAGCCCTCTCCTCGAGGAAGGAAGGGATACCAGCGACCGACATGAAGCCGAGGAAGGCGACGCTGCAGCAAAGCAAGATAGGGCCGGCGTACGGTCAGCGAGCGTGTACCTGATGGCGCTGGCGATCAGTTGCCGTTTACCCACCCGAAGAAGTGAACACTGAGGCGGTCGTTGATGCGGGCGTCCGTCTGAGGCATGTTGACCCACACCGTGGCCACGAGGACACCCATTCCAATGTACATGCCGAGACGAATGCCATAGGCCAGCAGATTGCGGCTGTAGTTGAGGTCTGTCGGTCGGGTGTTTGGGCTTCCGTCCGTTAGCCAGCGACTCGCGGATCAAAGTCAGAAGATCTTCAGGGCAGAGCACTCACAGTTCCTCTTCGTCAGCGTCGATGTCTGTGCGGCCAGCAGGGCCAGGCCGGTCATCTTTGACCTTCGGAGGGGCCGCGCCGAGATCGACGAGGCAGCGATCGTCGAGGGCGCTCGCGGCTTCTCGTTCCCGACCTCGTCCATGTGCTCCTTCCACGCCTCGGCGAAGCTGCGGATGCGGTCCTGGCCGCGCTCGATGTCATCGCCGTGGAGAAAGTCGGTCGAGACGAGCGACATCATGTTGTCTGCGGGGTTGCTGTGCGTCGCGGTCGGATGGCCCAGTGCTGTGAAGTAGGCGCCAGCACCGAGGGTGCTGCCATTGTAGATGGTCTTGCCGCGGGCGAGCAGCATGACTGAGTCGAACTGGCTGACTGCGGAAGACGGGCGAGGGTTGCGAAGCATGTGTGGCAAATTGAGATTCAGCGTCGAGCTCAAAGGGCAGATGGACCGCTCGTCGCCGCAGCTCGGACTCACATGTCTCCCAGTTCGGGCTGTGGATCGTGCAGAGGACGGCGAAGCCGTGGTCCTTGGCCATCTGGCGGATGCATGCAATGACCTCGAGGGCCGTTGCGCTGTCGAGACCGCTGGTGGGCTCATCGAGGAAGAGAATCTGCGGCAAGGTGACCAGTGTGTTTCCGATTGTGACCCTGCGCTTCTGTCCGCCGCTGATACCTCGCTGGATGGGCGTGCCGATGCGGTGGTTGGCGACATGCGACAGACCGAGCGAGCCCAGCGTGGCGTCGACTCGCTCGTCGAGCGTCGTCTGGTTAGCGGAAGGGTCCCTGTATAGAGGTCATGGACAGGTCAACGCGGCTCCACGCCGGTCGGGATCAGTCACGGCGCTGGCGATGGCATGCGAAGACAACTTGCCTGTCGAAACTCACGAAAGACGGGCCGAGTACTGGATCGTCTCCCTGACGGTCAGGGTCCCGAGCAAGGCGTCTTCCTGCTCGACGTAGCCGCTGAGATCGCGGACGCTGGTCGTGTCCGAGCCGTTGACTGTCAGAGTTCCGCTTTGCAGCGGCTTCCTGCCTGCCAGGACGTCGAGCAGGGTTGACTTGCCCGCGCCGGACGGACCCATGACTGGCGTCGGGTGAGGTGGAAAGGGCGGCCAGGTCAGCTGGAGCTCGACTTTGTGGCTGAGGAGGGAGGAAGGTGGGAGACTCACTGGCGAGCATCTGACCTCCCGAGATGGAGCCGCTGACGCCGTCGAGGAGGACGCCATCGCCCTGCTTTTTCTTTGACTTGACCGTGAATCGGACGTTGTTCCAGCCGAAGTGGACGGGCTGTTCGGCCGATACTTTGCTGTGGTTGCTCTGGTTGAGATGCATGCTGGACGGCTGCGTAAGAGGGGCGAGAGGGTGAGTGTTGTGGCCGGGAACGGGGACGACGGCAGAGACCTGAGTGGGCCACAGGCTGCTTAAGTACGTCTGCCTGAGCTTCTGCGCCCCCAGGATCCGACCACGGCGAGAGAGGAGATGGGCATGTAGCCGACGCCACAGAAGCCAGCGGGATGCTTCTACGGCAGGGAGGGCCGCATAGCCGCTGCTGCTGCCCGTGTCTGTATGGGCCGACTCCTTGCCGGGCCGGTGTGTTTTGCATTCCAAATGGCAGGCGGGGACATGCTGGTGCTGGTGGTGTCTGTGTTGGCGCGCGTGAGCGGAAGGCGGACGAGGGGGGTCACCGGTAAGAGGCAGGCAGGCGAGTGGCTGCACCAAAGTGACCGCGGCAGGTCAGATCAAAGCATGGTCCGACGAAGTAGCCGCGCCAGGCCAGGCCACACAGCGCGGCAGACCCCCTCGTGCACAACAAGAATTCCTGGCCCGAATGTCGAATCCGAAAAAATGCAGCCCGGCCTGCCGCGTTGCTCACCAAAAACTTGCCGCCAGCGCTGGCGGCAGGCACCACAACATGCAAAGCGACATCCGCAGGACAGAGCCTCCCTCCTTGGTGGCAGAGGCGCAGCCACGCACAGACGCGGTCAGGGCCGCAGATTCTTCACGGTCCACAGCGCAACACAGCCAGCCATATCGCCGCCAGGCTAACGAGCGACCTTCTTCGAATTCGGATCTCGGGCCGGCTCGCAAACGAGGCGAGGCCGTTACGACCGCCGGGGCGCCACCGGACCGACGCCAACGGGCAGGTGGGTGTGCGGCTCACTTTGCTCGACGGGCCAAGAGGATGCCCAGATTCCACGGCTATAGTAGTATCGACGGAAGAGGAGCGCGGCATTCCGTTCTCGGGCGTGTTGACTCGCAGCGCGATTCAAGGCGCTGGGCCAGTTGCGAATTTGAGCACGTGTGGCGATGGTAGCACCGACTTCTCGGCTCTGGGGCAGAGAGGCAGGCATCAGCATCTGATGCTTTGGTGTCCGCACCAGCTTGCGGTTGTTGCAGATACCTCGAGGGAAAGTCACTTGGTCGAGTGGCCATTGGGATGGCGTGGTTTGGTGAACGAGAACAGATGAAGGATCATGCGGTCATGGGTCGCCCAGTCCGACATTTGGCGCCACCCTGTCTTCTAAAGCTCATCCTCGAGTCGAGAGATGGTCTCGCGCCATCCCAAGCTGTCGTATTCGTCCGCGCTAACCTCGACCTCGACCGTCACATGAGTCGGAGAGTTGCTGCACGTCAGAGTTGTGACGACCACCTCATGGCCCCAACGACCTTCCTGCAGCTCCGAATTGATCTCGAAGCAGAAGCCGTTAGCGTAGTGGGCCTGTGGAATAGAGGCGACGGGAAGGATGTGGCTTGCTCCACGTCAGGGAGCGTTTTGGAAAAGGGCATGCTTCGTCTGAGCACCTTCGACGATGCTCACCGTCGAGTCGTTGATTGTCGACCACGAGACACAGCCGTACTCCCTCAAATTCTGCAGAGTCGGATGCTCTCCCCGAAGCTCTTCCAGGCTCAGGACGTTTTGGAGGTGAATGCGGATGGCGGTTTTGGCTTTCATGGCGGAAAGGCTTGTTGCTGCGACGGGAGCCCTGAGACCGTCGAGTCCGGAGAGAGGGGGCAGAGGTTGGTGATGTCGGTATGGCAAAAGCGGGGCCGACAAGTGGGCCAAGACGAGGCTTTGAGAGACAGGGGGCCTCTCAACGCCTTCTCCCTGCCTTGGATGGCCGCACCGGCCTGCCTGCGCAAACGGCATGCTCAGCCTCTTGGCCGCAACGGAGGGCGGAGCCTTTCTTCAACAGCTGCGCTCGGCGCGGCGGGCTACGAGGTGTGCAGGTTGACTCAAACTCGAGCGTACGAGAGACAAAGGGGCCACGGAGGTCGCCAGAGCAGGCTGGAGCCCACCATTGATCGGCTGCAACAGAAGTCCATAGCTCTGGCTAACGGGCCCTGGCTGCGCAGGCGGTCGATGCAGCGTGCGAACAGACAGGCGGGCGGGCGGAACCGCGGCCGGGGCGGAGCTGGAGCTAAAAGACCCCCGCTTTCAAATGAAGCCTACGGGCTTGACTTTTCCACCCTCTTTCCGCACCACCATCACCTCCATACCTCACGACGCCTACAACATCGTACTGCCGCGGTCATCCACCTTGCCACTGCCTCGCCCTACCACGATTTCGGGCCACCAGCGCGACATGAGTACAGGCATCGGCAATGCGGGTAGCTACAAAAAGAGGCGGCCTGCAGAAATCGATGAGCTCGACATCAATCTCATTGAGCACATCGTCGAAAAAGCCATCGCAAAGGGGCCTGTCAAGGTAGCAGAGCGAGTCAGCAACGGTAGCAACCACATTCTATTTTGTCGTTTGCCAGAGCAGGACGGTATGTTCAAGACGATCCTTGAAGGCCGCAAACGGATGCCAAGACGCGCCACAGACACACTGAGCTCGTACATGGGTCTCCACGATCACTTCCATCACAGAGTCTTGTGCCATCGTACGCGTGCAGAACCACATGCACAGCTGTTCCATGGACGCTCTCAACATTGCTCTGCCCACGGCTGACGCTCTTTCGAGCGACAACGGCATCTGCCAGTCTTCCACGCCCATCGGCTGGCTGTGTTCGGAGGTCTCGACGATCGAATACCTAGACCAGCTCGCCTCGTTTCCTTTCAAGGTCGCGCCTGTCCTCGCCTACGACTTCCGCTCGAACGATGCCAATCCTCTCGGTCGTCGCTTCATGGTCCAGGCATACGTTCGAGGGACCACTTACAAAGAACAGCTGGGCATCAGGGGTGTCGGTGGACGTCGTCTGAGCGACCGGGATCTCGATCTGGGTCCGCTAGCTCGCTCTGCCTCCGCTGTCCAGCTTCAGCTTGCAAACCCTAAGTGGACAGCCGCGCTCCCGACACGCTCGGCGCCAGATGCGGTCCCAGGCACGCAGTTCCGTATCCAGTGCGACTATCTACAACAAGATCACTGCAGCAACGTTGACGAAGTCCGCAAGCAGGCTGCCGCCAAGAAAACATCTGCGGGCGAACCGCGCTTTTACGTCGAGCGTTGCAATGCAGCGCGGTGCCATCCATTCGTGCCGGTGCCGACCTACGAGCCCCCGTCCGCCGCGGTATACGGCGGCTCGTCTGCGGTAGAGTGGCTTGACGAGCGCTGGAAGGCTCTGCTCGGTGCCTGGCGCTGCACCGAACGCACTTGGCGCGAGCAGCAGAACAATCTAGCTATGGACAAGGTCGAGGAAATCAGCAAGACACCCCCTATGATGCCGACACTTCATCCAAGTGGCGCCTCGGCATCGCGTCACCTTGTCGCCGACATCTATCATGTTGTGAGCGAGTGCAGCGAAGCTACAAGCCAGGAGACGCTGGAGCACGCGGCCGCCTTCCATCTCAGATGCCTCGAAAGCTTCAACGAGGACATCGGCTCCATTGTCGACGAAGCTCTCGAGCTGCTCTCTGGCTCTAGAGATTGGCTCGACGAGATCTGGACGGCGCTGTATACCGATCCAAACACCGGGAAAGGGAAACCCTCGGCCGCGCCAGCCCAAGCTTCCACGTCGGGTCTGTCACTTAGGCATCCCGACTTCGCGCTGCGAAACCTGCTCTTCAGTGACGGCGTCAAGGATGCCCCCGAAGTGATTGCCGTCCTTGACTGGACATACACGACTCTCGTTCCCTGGCCGCTTGCTCTGAGTCATGCTGCAGAGTTCCAGTTGCCGCCCATCTCGGTCCAAGACTTGCCTGCGTGGCACTGCCGCTCGTCGACGCCATCAGATCCGCGCTTCCAAAGGCCTCAAGAGGAGAAGGCGGCATATCTACAGGAGAACCCAGGCGGTCACTACAGCGGTACATTTGCGTATCGCAAGCGGGACGAGCCGAGGCTGAATCTGCTCCTCGACTGGTCGCGCTCGCTGATGATGGAGCGAATCTCGGTCACAGAGCGTGCAAGCGGGATGGAAGCGGATAAGGAGAGGGAAGCTCGCTGGCTCACAAAGCTGAACAAACTCGAGGCTCTCTCCGACCTCATCATCAAGTTTGAGGTGCTTGTTCAACAGGGAGATAGGTGGAGGCCGACACACAAGCGCTGGGCCCACAAGAAGTTGGCCCGAACCAGGGAGGCTCTCTACGGCCAGGCCGAGACGATCCCTCCCGCTCTTGGAGAGCCCGATGGCACGGTCACCCGGACGTGAGAGCGTATCAGAAGTATGTGGCTCGCAACGTATCCCGACACCAGCATGGCACCGGGCCCAAATTCGATACGAAAAGATACGGCGAATGTGAATCATGCATGCAGGAAAGGGGGATGAGGCCGATCCCAGACGAGAGCGGCGCAGTCTCAACGCAGAACGCTGTGGTGGCCTATGACGGCCATTTCCCGGGCTGTGCTGAAGAGAGCCTGACGCAGCCAATCCATCCGTCTACAGCACCCTGAACGCCTCTCCGGGCTTTGCGTACGTGACGTTGGTGATACCGGCTTCTGCCCAGTTCTTCTTGACCTGGTCGCTGCGCTCGGCAAAGTGAGCCCAAGAGTCAAAGTGCTGCGGCACGACAACGTCCGGCTTGATCTGCTGGATGAGCTCGACTGCCGCACGCGAGTCCATTGTGATGGGCTCCATGGAACCCTCGGCACCGACTGGAGCCTCGGCCCGGCCGAGGTTGATGAGGAGGAGCGAGACGTGCCATTTGTCCTTGACCTTGTACAGCTCGTCAAAGAGGATGGTGTCGCCCGTGTAGTAGATGGCGTTGGGGAGGCCGTCGGTCTCGCCGAAAGAGGGCGACTCGATCACGAAGCCGATGCATGCGCTGCTCGACTTGTGGACGCAGGGAATGGCCGTGATGCTGAAGTCTTTGCCGCCAACCTTGACCAGCTTGCTTTGCCATCCGCCCAAGCCAAAGACGTCGGGGCGAGGAGCGAGATTGTTTGCACCATCGCGCGTCGTCAACACAAGCCTTCCATCGAGTAAGCGGCGACCGATCGTGTCGAGATTGTCGGCATGATCCTCGTGACTCAAGAGCACCGCATCGATGTGGCCCAGCTTGTCGATGGAGAGGACCGGATCAGCGGTGCTTGTGATGGACATGCCCGGCATGACGGTGTACTCGTGGCCCGCGCCATCGAACGCCGGGTCAGTGAGAAACCGGACCTCATCGATCTGAAGAATCGCTGTGGCGGTGCCAATCAAGGTCACGGATACGGTAGTGCTGCCGAGCTTGCCGCCGACCATGTTTCGTCGATGGGATGGAGGATGTTGGTGCGCAGGAGGGCGTAGTCGAGAAGGGATTGCGGGCGTGGCGGCGAGCGAACCGCATCGCCTTTATGACCCTGCCGGTCTTGCACGGGGTAACTGGGGCCGCAGCGACTTGAACTGGTCGAGTGAACATGTCAGTTGCAAGCTCTGCGCCCTCTTGTCGCTCTCTGCGTTACAGGATGAGTGATGGGAGAGTACCACGCTGTGCAGGCAAGGACCGTTGGGTGGCGAGACCTACGTGGAGCGTGAACGGCGGGCGGGCACGTCGGCGCGGTGCCTGCGGCCAGCATCGACATTAACCATGATGCCCTCCCACTCACACGCTCGCCTTTCTCAACCCTTTGCAGCGTTGCAGTGTATGATGATTCGGCACCCCTTGTCCTGCAATGATTTCACTGCCGACGTGGAGGGAGGACTCGCTCCACGCGCATGCTCTTCCGAGACGCAAAGTCATCAAGGGTCACTCAGGCGTCGTTGCTTTCCGAGTTCCTTCTTCACGCCGCGTGTCTGGCCGACACGAGCTGACCAGTGCAGTCGCCGAAGCCGATCGTCAGCCCGTCCGCCCTTGTGGCCTGCGCTGTCATTCTGACAGTGTCTCCGTCTTGGATGTAGGTCCTCTCCCCGCCTCCCTCGAGCTTGAAAGCGTTACGGCCTCCCCACGTCTTTTCGAGCAGGCACGCGGCAGGGTTCGGATCGCTCGCCTGTTGAGGAGGTGAGGTCGGAACGTGCTCAGTGCCCGTCGTTCGCTGCTCGCTCGACGCTCCATGGGGCAGCACTTACCGGTCCCGAGATTGTCCCGGATCCAAGCATGTCGCCTGCATTGAGGTTGCAACCGCATGCCGCGTGGTGGACGACCATCTGACTGGCGGTCCAGTAGAGGTACTTGAGATTCGTCTCGGTCGTTGTGGTCCACTTGTCGGAATCCGAGGCTGAGAGGGCGGATCCGATGCCGCAAAGCGGGGGCAAAGACGGTGTCAGAGCCCGCCGTATGCCGCCGTGGAAGGCGCAGATGACGCCTAGCAGGCTCACCTTTGACGTCGACGGCCAGCGAGATGTCCCACTGCTTGCCCTCGCCCCTTTGGTCGAGATGTGGCAGGGGAGTGGGATCCTGGGCGGGCGAGGGGACGCGGAACGGCTCCAGCGCGCTCGTCTCGACGATCCAGGGGGAGACGGTGGTGCCAAAGTTCTTTCCGGCAAAGGGACCGAGGGGGACCATCTCATAGCCTTGGATGTCCCGCGCTGGACTCGCAAATGGCGAAAGCGGGTTGCGAGAACGGTCAGCCTATGGGTTCGCGATAGGAGCGAGTGGCCGGTAGGACGAGCTATGCAGACTCACCGCTCCAGTCGTTCATGATGAGCAAGCCAAAGATGCGTTGTTCGGCTTCTTGCAGTGGGATCGGTTCTCCCAGATCGTTGGGTTTGCCCTCTGTGCCTCCGCCGATGATGAAGGCCACTTCGAGCTCGTAGTCGACCACCTTGGAGGGGCCAAAGTGCGGCTTGGCGCCGGGCACCCGCATCTTGGAGATGCCGCAGGGCCGAGTGATTGGCGTACCGGACACGACGACTGAAGACGAGCGGCCGTGGTAGGCGATGGGGAGCTGCAGCCTGCGAGCCGGAAGGGAGTACGGGCCCAACAGAAGGGCGGATGAGCGGGCAGCAAAGCGCGGCCGCCTTTTCGAGAGCGCTCACCAGTTCTCGTCGAGCGGGCGGTCGTCGACGTTGAAGATGATGCGGCCGGCATTGATGGTGTGCTCTCTGCTGGCGCAAAAGTCGGTGTAGTCGCCCACCTTTACGGGGAGGTGGAGTGTGACGTCGTCGCGCGGGACGAGCACCTGGTGGCGAGCGGAGGGGTCGTCGCGAAGGAGGGCGCAGTGGCTACTGAAGAGGTGCTGGAGGAAGCTGCGAAAGGCGCGGTGGGTTGCGCTTGGCAGCGAGATGTAGTCGTTGAGCGTGGGCTGGGCAAAGAGGCGTGCGGCGGTGGCAGCGTCGAATGGAGGCGGGTGGGCGGACTGGGCGTCGAAGAGATGGTGCAGGCTAGTGAGGGCGGCGAGGTCGACGACGTGGCCTCCCAGAGCGACGGCGGCTCTCTTGTCGGCGTGGTCAGACTTTGTCGAGATGATGGACCATGGCAGGTTTTCCAGCGGGAAGGGAGAGTCGGCGGGGTACTCTACAAAAGAAGAGAGGCGGTGCGGCGACGACGGCATGGAGGGCTCTGCTGGCGGACGCTGTTGGTCAGGACGAGCTGAGACGAGGATTGCAGGCTCGATGGGGAAGGGGTTGCGCTCCCCGAGACCACCTTAGCCTTTGGACGTTGGCTCTTTTGAGCAAAGGTAGGGAAAAGTCGTAGAGGAGCCAGTGTAGTGGGTAGGCGAGACGTGCGGCGTGGTCCGGCGAGCTGGCGCCGAATCCCCACACCAAAAACGAAGAGCAGCAGAAGTAAGGAGCGGATGGCGCTCAAATAACCCGTGGCCAGCAACCTGCATCGGCTGCAATGGGGGGCTGCACCACAACACTCGATCTACTGCTGAGGCCGCGTCCCCGCCCGGACTCCCCCCCTCCCCCCTCCCCCCTCTTCCCCCCACCTTTCGCCGTCTAGCCCACGGCAAAGCCGCTGGCAGCTCGAGCTGCTTCTGCTGCGCCGGTCATCATGGCGGTGCACCTGCCAAGGTTGCTGTATGTATTACGCCCAGTTTGGACCAGAGAGGGAGCTTTTATGTACAACGAGCCCTGCCTGGCTGCCTTCGTCGATGCAGTCACGCTGCCACGGCCAGGATCGCCGCACCACTCTGGTCGCTGTTGCCGCGCTGCTCCGGGCCCTCCATCCTCTTGGCCCAGTCTTCGGCTCCAGAGTAGTCGTAGAGGTAGTGGGTAAACTGCATCGGGTTCTTGCCCGCCACCTCCTCCTCGGTACCCGGCCGGGGGCCCAGCGCCTGCTTCCGCGAATGCTCTTGCGCAAACGTCGCCCGTCCAATCCGCAGCCGCTCGGCCCGCTTCAGCGATGCCTCGACCGCAGCCGAACCAGAGGCGCTCTGAAGGGCGTAGGCGATGGCCTCGGCATCCTCGATGGCCTGCGATCCTCCCTGGCTCAGGTGCGGAAGCATGCAGTGGGCCGCGTCGCCGATAATCATGGCCTTGCCACGCGTCCAGCTGCCGAACGGATCCTGGTCTCGCAGCTGGTACAGTGAGCACTGGTCGGCCAACGAGAGGATCTTGTGCGTCAGCGGGCAAAAGCCTTCGTAGCACGCCCTCAGCGCCTTGATGTCGCCCTCGGCCGACCAGCTCTCCTTGGACGTCTGTTGAAGGCCAGCATCCGGGACGATGGCCACAATGTTGAGCAGGTCTTGGCCGTCGAGACGACAGGTGTAGGCCACCAGGCGGCGATCCAGCCCGACAATCATGATGAGCCCGGGCATACTCAGCACCTCGTCCACCTGCGCATCCCGCAGGGCGTGCAGCTTGTCAAAGGGGATCATCGTCCGGTACGCAGAATGGCCGCTGGGCTTTGGTACCAGCGGCTGGCCAAGCACCGCGTCGCGCACTGTCGACTTGATCCCATCGGCACCGACAACGACGTCGCCTTGGATCTGGCTACCGTCCTCGAGCGTCACGGTGGCAGTGTCGCAGTCCTGTCGAGACAGGCGAAGGCAGAATACGGGGCCATCAGCCTACACTGCCTCTGGTCGCTCTCCCTTCATGGGGTTGGCCGGCCCGACCCCGGCGCACGCACCACTGCGACGACCTTGCTTGCGGTCAGGAGCTTGGCAGGCTTACCAGGGATGCCCGCGTCCTCAGACGTGGCGAGCCTCTTCAGCTCCCGGTGCAGGGCGATGCGGTGCTGGCGCGCAGATGAGTCGTCCGGCAAAATGAGATTGGAGAGCACAATGTCAAGATGTGAGCAGAGGAAGCCACGAGAGTACCGGTGACACGCCGCACTTACGTTGAGGAGGAAGGGCGCGCCATACGTCTTGTGCATGTCGAGCTTGATGTCCTGCAGCACGTCGCCCTGCTTGTTGAATTCAATGATCCTGCGACCGTCGGGAGACTCGAGCTTGGCGAGGTCGACGCCCCATCCGAGAAGGATGCGGGAGGCGTTGGGGCCCGTACCGATGGCGGCGCCAGTCTCGGTCTTGAGGCGCGAGGTCTCGAGAATGACGACGTCGTGGTGCTCTCGCAGTGCGCGAGCCGTTGCAAGGCCGGCGATACCCGCGCCGACGACAGTGACCTTGAGGCGCGGTGAGCTTTTGCTGATGGTAGTCATGGTGTGGCGATTGATGAGAGGGGAACAAGGCGCACAGAGTGATTGCTGTTTGCAGATGGTCATGTTGAAAGCGACGTTGAACGAGGCCAGTCGGCTTCTTATAAGGCGGCAATCGGCAATCGGCCTTGGCCGTGCTGGTCTCTGCGCTGCAGCCTAGCAGTACATCTCGGAGGCCCTCCTGACGGGCTCCTGCAAGGCCTTGTTAGAGTAGCCAGCGTGACAAGGGTGCGACGCCGAGGCCATTGTCGGGCTGGGAGGGCCGTCCAAGTCAGTCGCCAGCTTGCGAGTGCGGCGCGAGACGCGTTCCTTGCTGGAGACACACCCCCATCAAGCCGGCTTGGACGACGAGGAGGGAGTCGTGCACGTTGCGGTCTTCAGCAAAGGGTCCGTTGCGATGGCATTATTGTTCCCCGGCTTGACGATCCGACAGATGATCAGGAGGTAGGCCTATGCTGCTTAGCCGCGGCGCATTGCGTGATGGAAGGCTTTGCCGCAGCCAAGTCAGCTGACGAGGCAGAGGGCGGCGTCTTACTTCGCCATGTCGAGCTCTCGATTCGTGGTTGCACCGGCCAGCCGGTGGGGGTGGAGCCCGACAGACGGCGGCAGAAGGTACGTATAAGGTGGGGTCGAGACTCTTGGGTATCTGCATCATCTCTCCTCGCCCACTTCTACAAGCATGTAGTCGGCTTGGGCGGGGTAGCATGCGCAGTGCTCCATCCTCCGGCTGGGCTTTCCGGGCGTCTCTAAGACGACTCTTCTGTTGCTGCACGACTGCCGCAGCCGCGCGGCCGCGGAAGCGCCGTCCGGAGCGCCGGCACATAGGCCCTCGAGCCTCTTGGCAGAGACGCAGCTCGCCTTAAGACGTCTCGTCGCCGGCCCGACACGGCCTTGCTTCTTGACCTCGAACCCCGGACAAAGCATCTTGCCCCAACGCGCCCTTGGGACCCTCAGCCAGACATCTTGCACTGCCCTGCCCAGCCCAGCCCAGCCTTTTCCGGCATGTCGCATCGTGAGCCCATCAAGCGCTTCGTCACCGGCCACAACGAAAAGGGACAGGCGGTCCTCGTCGATGAGACGCCCATCCCCCACAAGCAAATCCTAGATGACGGCACCACCTTCGCTGTAGGTATATCAAAAAAGAGCTCCCGATGAGGTCAACGAAGTGACGTGCATCCTTACCCTTGCCCCGCGCCCTCGCCATCCCCGCGCCCGGCACCTCGTCTCCGCCGCTTGGACCTGACAGCTGATCTGGAGCACGGACCAAGCACCCGCCGACAACTCGGACCCCCGCGACGGCGCGAAGCCTCCAGTCTTCAGCGGCAAGTCACACAACCCCAACGGCGGTTCAGTGCTTCGCATCGTCGACATTGCGCCCCTCAGTCCCTCGCCCATGCATCGAACCACCTCAATCGACTACGGCATCATCCTCTCGGGCCACTGCGAGCTCGAGCTCGACGGCGGCGAAAAGCGCCTCCTCGGCCCACACGACATCTGCGTCCAGCGCGGCACAAACCACATCTGGAGGAACCTCAGCGAGACCGAGTGGTGCAGGATCGCCTTTGTCCTCCTCGAGGCAAAGCCGCTCCAAATCAACGGACAGGCACTGGGCGACGAGAACTTCCCCGAGGGCCCAAAGGACAACTAGGACGGCCCAGCAAGGCTGCCGCCGCCAGGCGTCCAAGCGATATCGAACAGTTGTAGTAAAACGATTTCCAATGACCAGCGCAAGGGAGAGACGCGACTGCTCTGCACCACGAGCTAGCTCAGGCCATGCCGCCCGAGATTCTAAGCGATCCTGCGGATGTGTGCTGTGAAACCCAAGTGAGCGGGAAAAGTGACCGCCGTTCAGCTCCTCTTGGCTGTGATGCTCCTCAGCCGCCGCACCGATCTTGCCAAAGCTTGGTGCTCACCCAGGTCGCCGCTACCCTGTATCCTATGCACGCCGGCGTAGACGACTTGTTATGTTCCCAGGTCAAGGGTGTCCAGCCCTCCGATAATGTGGTGGAGCGTTGGGGCCTGCTGAAAAGAGGCGGGCCGGACACGGACATCGACGCCGTCCAGCTGGTCGCTTTGCCAATGCTGCTTGAGCAATGGAGGGACTGGAGCTGGGCCAACGAAGACGGCGTAGTCCGCATCTGGTTCTCTGCCGCGCTTTGGCGCTCCGACGGCAGGCACGAATCGGTGCGTCAAGGTTTCGTCCCTGCTGTGGTGTCGTGTCTCGTTTGCCGCGTCAAAGAGAGGGGAGGGCGTCGAGGGCGGCACGGCGGTCAAGCCGGGTATGCTCAGAGTGAGGAAATCGTGGGCAAAAGTGGAAGCTGTGAAGTTGAAAGTGGTCTCCTCGTCCGTCTCTTCAGACCTCGCAAAGCCGCCAGCAAGGTCTGCAAAGACTTTGGGGAAGCCCAGCTCCTCCCTTCCCGTCACGATGGGATCGCACAAATTTTCGAACAAGACGGCAAGGAAGCTTCCCGACTGGGCCGAAATCTCCGCTCCCGGATCTGAGGCGTCGGCGGCCGGTCGGTAGGCCACGTTGTTGAAGTAGACGCCCAGCGTATCGTATCCCCGGCCGGCGAGCCACGGCAGGTTGGAAAGGCGCATGACCTGTATGGTGACTGTAGTTATCGCTTCCCCGTTCTGGGCGAGGGCCACGAAGTCAGGCGGCAGCAAATCCTGGACGAGGGCAATTGGTACCTTGCAGATGACATCTTGACTCGATAACAGCAGCAGTCAGGAGGAAGAGACATCTGTTCGTGAATGTTGCTTCGATGCTGCCTGGCTTTTGCGCGCGTTATGCACCTACCAGCGATCAAGGTCTCGGCATCGTTGTAATCGAACCGGCCGCCGTCCGGCTTCTGCCGGGGACTTGGTGTTGGTCCAAAACCGATCGGAGACCGCCAGTAGAGGTGAGGTTGATCGGTGGACATCTGTGACGCTGATGTGATTGCGTTGCGGCGCGCCGTGGTGGTGGGTCGAGACAGAGGAGGCGTGACGAGTCTGTCCTCGCCGGCAGCAGCGAGATGAAAAAGGCCGTTGCAAGGACAAGAGCGATTTCGTGTCCTTCTCGTCTCACCTTCTCCCGCCCGGCGTATCCTTGAGCGCTGCTTGCACCCCCCACCCCGCTCTTTGCTTCTGTCCGTCGGACGACCCAAGCCGAGCAGAGCACCGCATGGACGAGCATCGGGTAGTCCAAGTGACCTGGAGCTGGTGACTCGGCAGGTGTGGAGGCGGCCGGGATGAGTGTGCCGTGGCATCGGCTGGAGCTACACGGTCCTCGAGCAGAAGCATCTGGGTCGAGCGTAAGTGGCGCAACGAGAGAGCCCCGAACAGCATGCTAATTCAAGGCCTTTGGTGGAATTAAGAGGGAAACCGACGATCGAACAGGTTCGAGCGTAGATCCGTATCATCGGACAGCGAGACGAAATCTATGTAGGATGGCGAGCAGGTAGCCTCGTCGACATGCTACGACGCCGTCGAGCGGGTGCTCAGGCAATGATGGGCAAGACCAGGGCGCTCCTGAGTTCTTGACCTTGGTCTTTGAGACCCTCCGCCTTGTCATTGATACCGGAGCACTCCACTTGCGCCCTGCTGACTGGTCCGAGGTGCAGCACATTCTGTCCTTCGAGCTTCTCCTTCGTCCTGTCTGTCTCGCCATTGTGCGGGAAGACGCTGTGGCCCTGCTGGTCCTTGGGTCCGACTTCGAGCTGCAGTGTGTTTCCGGCGGCAACGACGACGTTCGTGGGCCAGATCTCGATATCGATGGCGTGGAGCTTGTCGGCTTCGATCGGCGCCGCCTCGTTGCGCAGGTATTCGCGATGATGGTAGTACCCGTTCGACTTGGATGCGTCAACCTTGCGGACCGAGGCGCGCAGCCAGCCCTTGGTCACCGGGCACGGGTCACCCGCCGTGCCCGTGTAGAAGATCTCCTTGCCCTCAGCATCAAGGTGGCGGAGCGTGAGGAAGACGTCGAGGTCCTTCGGCACCGTCGCGGCGCCGTCTGCGGCAGCGATGCTGGTCACGAGGCGGAGGGTTGGGTGGCCCGTGATCTCGGTCTCCTTGTCAAACTTGACGTTGAACGTGAGTCCGTCGCTCTCGAGCGACCGGTAGCTGACCTGGCCCGCCTCGACCTCGTCGGACGAGGCGCGGAGGCTGCCGTCACGCGACAGGTAGTACGGCGTGTAGCGCGTCTGCGGAAGGGGCCACTGGGTCTCTGCTCGCTCGGGGAAGCTGCGGTCGCCTTCGATGGTGTTGAACTTGGGCGCACCCTTGCGCAGGGCGAGGTTGACTGCGGGCACGCCACCCTCGGCATTCGGCCCCTTGAGCCAGCCGCGCGTGTCGTTGTCGTGGAGGAAGGCGTCAAGGAAGGACTTCTGCAGCTCGACACGCTCGGGCAGGTAGAAGGGGAGGTCGTGGCGGCCGGTGATGAACCAGAGCCACTTGTTGCGGGAGGATGCGCCCAGGTAGCCCATGACGTTGCCGCGGAGGTGGAGGGTGATGCCGCCCCAGTTTCCGACGCTGAGCAGCGGCACGTCGATGTCCGAGAGGCTGTAGTCGCGCGACGAGTAGTAGTCGTCGTCCATGTAGAAGTTGACGGCATTGTCGCTGGTCTGGTCGGTTCGGTTGGCCTTGAGCTGCTCGGGGGAGAGGCTGCCCTCGACGTTTCCGGGCCGGGCGTTCTGGCCGGGGCCCCACGTCTTTCCGGGCTTGGGTGCGGGCGGCCTTCCGTACTGGTGGGTGTTGACCTGATAGTTCTGCCACAGGGCGATGAAGCCGTTGGAGAGGATGCCGCCGTGCCTAGCGCGGTCGCGGTAGAAGTCAGACATGCCCTCCCAGGGCACGATGCAGGCGAGTCCCTTGGGCTTCCTGGCGGCGGCTCGCCACTGACTGCCGGCAAAGTAGCTGATGCCGAGCAGACCGACCTTGCCCGAGGACCAGCTCTGAGAGGCGGCCCACTCGATGCAGTGGAAGAAGTTGTTGGCGGTCTGGTCGGACATGGTGTCGAGGAATCCGGGCGACTCTCCGGTGCCCTGCTCGTCTACGCGGACGACGACGTAGCCCTGCTTTGTCCAGTAGGTGGGCTCGGGAGTCTCCCACGCCGAGAGCGACGACTTTTGGCTTTCTGGCAGCTCCTCGAACGACTGCGGGTAGAATTCGCTGTAGGGGATGTCTGTCCGGGATGGGGTCGGCAGAAGAGGTCAAGTCAGGTCGGTCGGGGCGTGTCAGAGATCAGCATCAGCATTAGCATCAGCATCACCATCACCATCCTCGCCTCGCCTCGGACACGGCAGCTGGAATCAGCGCGGGCGGGGTCGACATTGGCTCACCTTTACCGTAGGGTCCGTGGGTCATGATGACGGGGTACCTCTTGCCCTTGTCGGTATCCTCTGGGCGGTAGACGTTGCACCTGCAGCAGTCTGTGCCGTCGATTCGCGGGATGGGGATGTCGACATTCTGATCAAAGATGAGGCCGTGGATGCGCTTGGTGGTCTTGATGGCGTTTTCGCCCGGCTTGACGGGAGTGGGCAGCTGGGCGGCGCGGAAGGGAAGGAGGCGTTCGCCAGGCATGTTGCGAGATAGGCGCGGGCAGCGACGAGGTACGCGAGGGTTGGCGAGAGGGATCAGGGTGTGGGAGGGAGACACAGAGAGAAGACGGGGCGGACGACGAAGAAGTACTAGTTAGTTCCGAGCCCCACGCTGTACGTCCGGCGCGGGTGGTGACATGGCTCAAGAAGGCGAAGCTCCTCCCTCCGGCGGCGGCGGCGGCGACAGCCAAGGAAGCGGTGACCCGATCGTCGAAGAGAAGGATGGGCTTTGATGGTCGGAATGGGTGGGGAGGTTTGCTTGGTCGTTTGTTCGAGCAAGGGCGACGATGATGGAGGCGGGCGAGGGGCGCGGGGGGTCGGAGGGAAGGGCCGACGTTGGCTGGCCCCGGCTGGCTGGCTGGCTGGCATGTCCC